ACTTGTGCCTCCGACTTGTGCCTCCGACTTGTGCCTCAAACGACCGTCACGCAGCTGACACGGTCATGACTGTTCTTGACAGGATACCGAATCTTTGAGCTGGTCAAAGGCGCAGCCAATACGCTTGAAGTGCGCTCTAATATTTTGACGTGCTACCATGAAGAACTTGGTGCTGTTCGCACAAAAGAAGCAAGTGGTCATTCACGTACAACTTCAACATCGTTCATACAAAAGCCAGCATTATCCCGGCACGAAAAAGTTTCCGGCATCTGGTAGGAAAATACTTCGTAGTACATAGTGCATTTCGGTAGTTTATCTTGATGAGATATTCGATCGCTGCAAGGGGAATAGCGAGAGAAATACTCACGTACAATATTAGGAGAAGCCCACGCATAATGAGAAACATCAGTATCTATCTCACCGACACTAATGCAGACATCTTAAGTCGCACATGTGTCCAAGATGAATTGAGCGCTGAAGAACGTAGCCTGGGGAAGTACTAGTAGTAGTATTCAGCAAGATTACTCGGTTTTCTTCGAGCGAAGCATGTGATATCCATTGTACGTCGTTAGGCTTTTCATTAAAGCACTTATGCAATCCTGAGAGCAGAAGAGAGGCCGTTTGTTTCACCGAGCTGCGCTTGTTGTCGCTTACCTGTTAAGTTACCAGGGAAGCTCAGCCACAGGCATTTGCGGATCCAAGTTGAAGAACTTGCCGGTACTTTCAGGATTCAGGTTGGAGATGAAGCTGGCCATGGCCTCTGCACTGTCCGCAGGCTTCAGCGTAGCCTTGCCCTGTGTCATGTCCGTGTCCACATATCCAGGGTGCACCGATACGACCACGATATTGCTCGCACTCAGCTCTACAGCCAGCGCACGAGTGATCATGTTAAGAGCGGCCTTAGACGACCCGTATCCGTACAGGGCATCCTTGAACATGGCCGCAGTTTCATTCGTGATACTGCCGATACTGCCCACAAAGGAGGATAGCTGCACAACATAGGCGGCGCCGTGGGCCTTTGCCGCTAGCTGTAGATTGGGCAACAGCGACCGCGTCACGAGGAATGGGCCGATAGTGTTCACCTCGAACTGACGCATGAATGAGGCCTTGGTAGTGGACGTGAGTTCGCCAGGGAGACCAATACCAGCATTGTTAATAAGCAGGTCAATGGGTTGGCCCTCCAGCTGGCGGGCTGCCTCGAGGATAGTAGCTTCGTCGCTCGTGTCCATAGTGACGATCTTGAAGGGGGCGAGTGCTTTCAGCTACGAATACCAGGGAATGGTGAGCAGAGCTTGTACAATCTTTCAAGGAGATCTACTTGCAGTACCTTTTCCGTGTTGCTGTTGACGCGCGCTGTGCCGATGACGTTCCAACCAGCCTTAATGTAGTGCTCGGCGAAGGCGAGACCGATGCCACGAGTGCTGCCGGTGATGAGAACAGTCTTCTTGGAGGATGCCATAGCTAAATTGCGACTGTGGACTGGTGAGGTGTCCGGGGCGGTGAGCTTTTTCGAAAATGAGGTTGCTGCATCAGCATAGCAATAGCGAAGTGATACCTGCTTCGAATCAGCCTCAGTTGACTTAATAGCTACAGCAAACGGGGACGGAGTTGTCCTGGCCGGTACATGAACGGCAACTTGGTCCAAGTCTTGGACAGGACACACTCAATGATACCGTGTCAAGCGACCATATTCGACCAGCCCAGCATTTGTCCCACTGATACCTTCCTGCATTTGTTCCATGGAGTAGTTTTATTAATTTAAAATCGAAAATTCCTAAATCACCCACAGCCGATTACATTATTGCACCCTCTTTCCGCGACTTTGACCTTTGATAAACTTTCCGATATAATGCTGCATGTGCTAAATATAGTCGGATTACACTGATGAAATCTGATGTGTTTTAAAATCCTATATGGTGCACCTTGTAAAAACCGTGGTGCACCACTGTACTTGACTTTCAAATGACCCATCCCTTGTAAAAACCCGGCTTTCCAGAACCAGTTGCTGGCACCAGTTGCCTCATCCGTCTAACGTCAACACCTCAGCAACATGCGTTACGACCAGCAGCCGAATGACACGCGCCCCAGGCTCTACGCGCAGCCTCAGGCTCTACCTGGGGACTACAACCAACTCATGCACACGCAACACAGCGCCCTCAAGTATGAGCCCGGCGCGCCGTACTACCCGCCGGCGGCTGCGCTGCACGTGTCGTCGGATTATCAGCCTCCCGCCAGCAGCCCCGCGTCCTCGGCACACAATAGCGCCAAGCGCTCGCGCGAGGAGCTGAATTTAAAGGAGAAGCAGCGCATGTTCAAGCTGAATGAGCGCATTAACCAGCTCAAGACGCTGCTGGACGAGGCTGGCGTCCAGACCAAGAAGAACAAACAGTCCATTCTGGACAACACGTCGCACTACATTGAGATGTTGCGCGGCGACCTGGTGGTCGCCCAGCAGAAGGCCGAGCGTGCCGAGAAGCAGGCCGAGACCTTCCGGACTCAGACGCACAGAGGCAAAGGTGCAGTCGACAAGGCGGTGACCGGCGTGTTCGAGAAGACCACAACACCTCGGGTGGTCGTGGACATGGACATGAAGACAATCATGTTCAACGCCGCCTTCGTTAAGTATACTGGACTCTCGGAACTCGCGCTGAAGAAGAAAAAGACGCTGCGGCCGTACCTGTGCACGGACCAGGAGAAGTTAGACGCCATCATGACGAAGCTGCGCGAGACGAAGCAGTCCTTGAGTGTGCTGGTGAAGGCGTCCGCTACTGGCAAAGATGAAGTGTCTGTCAACTTGATCGCAGCGGTCGTGACGGGTGACAGCGGCGAAGGTGTGAACGTCGAGTTCAGTCTGATTCCTATGGACGTGCAACAATTACCGCAACAGCGACCAAAGCGACAGAAAACCGAGAATGTTGCAAAAGGTAACAAGGCCAAGGACCAATCTGCTATTTACGTGCAGCTGTAAGCGCAACTGCCGCCCATTGTTGCGTCAACTGAATGGCAAACGTTGCGAAAGTTACGACGTTTGCAAACTTTTCATCGAGCAAAAGAATGGATTTTCCTATTTCGTCGTATTTTATTGTCCTTACTGCAATCTAATACCCATTTTTAGATTTTTTTTTTTTTTTTTTGCGTACGGTGTCCTAAGGTTTCGGCTGGTAGGACGGGAAGTCGTTGTAGCCCTTGCCGCCCAGCGCCGAGTTGTAGTACACCTCGTGTCCAGCTTCAGGCT